GGAAACCTTCCTAGGTTATTTTAGACCTGGCACGTTGGCACCCTGGGATGGGTGGCCGAGAGCCCAGCTTGTGGGTTCACTTGTGGAAGTTACAGGGAAATCTTTAGGAAGCAGGCAAAAATAATAATAATAATAATTAGAAAAAAAAGGAAAGAAAAAGAAGTAAAGAAAGAGCAAACCCAGGAGCAGAGCAGTTTTAACACTTTCCTAAAGCCACCCCACAGCCCCTGCTCCGCTTCTTCATTGTGGCAGGGGGGGTGGGAGAGATGCAAGGAATATGCCCTCTGTTCTGAGGATCCAATGCATTTGTGGCACATTCCTCCTAGCCCCCCTCCCCCAGCTCATTAGCCTGTAAGTATTGGAGATTGAGAGCACGTTTCTGGAGCCGTGGGCGCACTTCCATGGCATCGCATTTCTGATTTTCTCTGACTTAGGAGTGAACTTCACGTAATTGAACTATTCTGACCAAGAGTGGTGCTTGGGGGAAGAGGGGTGGGGGTTATGTATTGGGGTAGCACTTATTTTTAATAATCCCATAGCAAGACGTCTACTTCCAGTGTTTGTTCATGTCTTCCCTCCTCCCTAATTTACGTTTGCTGGACTGTGGGTTGCATTTCTTTTTTGGAAAGTTAAACTTTTTTAGGAAGACCATTCTGATGCTGTTTTGCATTCAAGGGCAATAAATTCCGGAGCAAACGGCAGAGGCTCTTCTATGATCTTTAGCTGATGTCTATAATTATACTTAAATCACAGCCCCTCTGTAGTCACAGCCATGGTAATAGAGCGTGTTTGTGTAAACACACCCGCATATGCGTGCATACACGCACACACACACATGCGTGCAGCTCCCCGGATTGCACACGTGTGTGTGTACATGTGCGTGTGTGCGTACAGGCTCGCAACAAGCGGAAGATACACACTGTTCAGGGATTCACACGGGTGCTACCAACTGCATTTTCTCTAGGTCCACCTTCATACCCCAGTTACCCCACCACTCTAAGCACGCTGCACATCCGCATTTACAGCTGGTCAGGCAGGAGAAATGGAAAAGAGGGACAAAAAGAGAAAGAAAGGGAAAAAAAGCCTCCAGGAAACCACAGCAATTCTCACCCCCCACCCCCAACCCTCTGTGATTGTGCCTGCAAAAGGAAGCAGAATATACTAATCGCTCTTTCTGGTCTGAAATCACTGGGCCCTGTCCAATGCGATCGTTTTGTCTTTACTTCTACAGGTACAGTATATGGAACTCATGGGAGACGAGGGAGGCAAACTTACACCAGATACCAAACGCTAGAGTTAGAGAAGGAATTTCATTTTAACAGATACTTAACCCGAAGACGACGTATTGAGATTGCAAACGCTCTCTGCCTTACTGAACGCCAGATTAAAATATGGTTTCAAAACAGGCGGATGAAATGGAAAAAGGAAAACAAATTCATAAATTCCACACAGCCCAGCAGTGAAGAAACAGAGGAAAAGTCAGGGGAGTAGAACCACGTTTAATAAACGCTACCAGGCCTTTCCTTAGTGCTTACTATTCCTATTTACCTTATGTTCCTTCTGCTAGTAAAATCCTATAGGTTTGTCAGTCTATTAATTCCCCAAAGGCTTGGTTAAAAGATGTACATTTGCAATCATCTGTGACTTTCTTTAATATACGTGGAAGTCCTAGCTTTCGAGCTACAGGCACCTATGTATATAACCTCCTTCACAAAGTGTAGATGGCGTTGCTTAAAGGCTTAGAGAAATGGCCCAGATTTTTAAATGTTTGTGGTGAGCATTTGTGTGTGGGTGAGTGTCCCTGGCGTACCTGTGTGAGAAAAGATCAGAGAGGGATTTTTTTTTTTTTTTAATTAGCAGTGTTCATATTTTAGAAATACGGAAGATTTTAGAAAATGTTGGGTTTCTGTTTTTGCTAAGACCCACTACGTCGGGCAGTCTCCTTATGGTGTGTTTGGGAGCTTATGGTCTTCAGGGGAGGAAAAAAAAAGTTTTACGCATGTGTAAGATATTTAAATAGTATAAAGGAAAGAAAAAAACCTTTTTAAAAGTCGTTCTATAAACCCCTGGATATAATCTTGCAGTTAAAGCAAACATGAATTGCAGAGAGATTTATTTTAAATGCCGCTAAACTGCCTAATGTGCACTACTGGTATTAAAGTGAAAACTCGGCGTTAAACTTCAGGGGAAGCGAGGGAAGAGGTTTCGAGGCAGACGAATTTCTGTGGTTCCCGTTGAGCTTACACTGAGCTTTCGGTGAGCTCAGCTATACACTGAAGGGGGCTTTGAATTATGGACTACATTTCTTGGGGCTTCGGGGGCTTGGGTCGATCTTTTTTATTTTCTTATTTTTATTTTTAATTAAAAGGAAAGTGTCTATCATTAAGGCGGGGAATCTTCTTCCCAGCTTGTGTGGTATCTTGATTCACATTCGCGTTTCTTAGCACTGGAAACAAAAAAACCCCAGATACTGTAGAGAAAAGTAGCTGCCATAAAAAACTTCCACTTCGAGTTCTGTACAAGTAAAATGAGCGCAGCGAAAATGTTGATTAATATATACGTTATATCTATATTATGTTGTGTGTGCGTGAGTGTGCGTGTGAAGCTGTGTAAAAATACATTAGTGTATGCATCGAGGCTCTTTTGTTTGGAAGACAGCGCGATTTGGTCTACCGCTCTGAACATTTTAAAAGCCAAATCTGGAAAATACTAATGCAAAATGGCTACCGCCGCATATAGAGGTTTGGTTGGTTTTGTTGGGTGTTGTTTTTTTCCCGAGAGGCGGAAAAAGAGAGGCGGCCGTAAAGCCGCCTGGAATTTGACCCCCTAGATGGAAAAACGTTTATCTTTCATGGGTCCCTGCCATTTCGCATCGGCAGGACCCGGGTGCCTCTCGAAATCGCCAGTACGGAAAAAGGGGGTGAGAAAAATAAACTAAAATATATATGTAGAGAGAGGAGGAACATAAGCGTGGCCAGCACCCGAGAACGGATCACGCAGAATTTGTAAACTGGTGTAAATAAGCCCCGCACGGTGGAGAAAGCAGGCACAAAGCGTAGCGCTCCGTGCACGCCGAGCTCTCCGCTGGCCGCGGCGGGGGA